AGAATGAGAGAAAGAGGGAGGGAAGGAAAGTTTTAAAGGGGAGCTGGTAGAGCTTAAAAGGAGAATGGGAAGAAGGAAGAAATGGAGGGAGGGAGCAAAGCAGTCTGAGGGAGAAAGTGAAGAAAAATATTAAGGTGGGAAGGAAGGAAAAGGGGAGGGAGGGCAGGGGTAAAGATAAAGGAAAGAAGGAATGTGGGAAAGGAGGGAGGGTAGGAGAAAGATGGGAAGAAAGATGATGGAACAGAATTAGGAAATAAGGAGGGAAAAAAAGTTTATAAATGATGAGTTAGTAGGAAAAAGTGTTACATAAAGGAGAGAGAAAAATTGTGTGAGAGGGAGAAGCCAATAAGGAAGTCAAATACAGCGGTGTGTGAAGGGGATAAGATTTTTAAAAAAAGTTAATAGGGGCGATCAGGCCGGCAGGGGAGGGCAGTTAGGGGGATCAGGCAGGCAGGCAGAGTGGTTAGGGCAGGCAGGCAGGTGAGTGGTTAGGAGCCAGAGATCCCAGATTGTGAGAGGGATGTCCAACTGCCAGTTTAGGCCTGATCTCTCATCAGGCCTAAACTGGCAGTTGGACATCCCCCGAGGGCTCCCAGATTGGAGAGGGTGCAGGTCGGGCTGAGGTACCCTCCCCCCCCTCGCGTGCACGAATTTCGTGCACCAGGCCTCTAGTACTTATATAATATGCAATCTTATTTAGGTATATAAATTAATACCTTTGATAATTGTAGTATTTCCATGTAAATTCCTTAAAGTTTAAATATATTCAAGTTGACCAAAAAAGTGTGCCAGTTTTTTGTTGTTCTTTTCCGTGGGAAAACAGAATTTTCTTATATTCAGAGTTGCCTTATAGTTGCATAAATATGATAGATATATGTTAGTTGCTGAAAATATTTCACATAATTCAACAGCCATTTGTCCCTCAAGTTAAAATAAGAAAATTGCATTATCAGAAATAGTTAAATAAGAATAAAATGAACATGACTACTGGTGATTTTATTTTTCTAAGAAATCAACGAAAATAGTCATCATTGGAACATTGATGCCATTGATAGATGAAATGAAAACATGTTAGAGAAAACTTTTTATATAATAGGCATGTTTTTATTTTAACAAAGGAAAATGTATTTATATATATAAAAAAATCATAAAGATGCACTAAACTAATAGTGGTTGCCACTGAGAAATGAGGTTGGGGTATTTTCATTTAACTTTATAATCTGATGTATTCGTTAAAATTTTTATTACAAACAGGTATTGTTTTTGTATTATAATTTTTTAAATTAGTTATAGGTATTAGAAAACCTTAAGTCAGCTATGAAGTTCAGATTTTTGTTACACAAAAGGGAGCAATTAATTTATTATAAAAATTAGTTTTTGAGTACAAATATGTGTCATGCATTAAGTTTAAGTGTGTTACACCAGAGTGGCCAGCATATGTTGATTCCCAAAAGTCATTTCCTTTGTCCTGCTTTGACTTGAGTTGACAGTGTCCTTATTTTCAAAGAAGGAAACTTCATTTTGGCAGTAAAGTGAACAGTCTCTAAGGTATTACAGCTAGTAAATGATAAAACTAAAATTCCTAATACAATGCTCTTCTCACTATTTTGTAGCTATAACCAGAGCTATTTTTCAAGTAAATTAATTATACAGTTTATAAAATAGATTTTGGAAAGATTAAAGGGGGAGATTGGATTAGTTTAATAGAGGACCAAAGTGAGAGCTGATAATGGAGAAATAGGAAAAAAAGGGGGAGTGGGGTTGGAGGAGGTAGGACCTATTTGGATATGGTATCTAAAGATCTTTATAAATGACATGCTATTGAGGCAAGTGGGAATGCTGACTCAAGTTTTGAAACACTGGTTAATTGTTCTTGGTGGTACCACCACAAGTAAAAAACACCAGAGGAAAAAAAGAAATGTAAAGGGGAATTGATGAATTTGGGTTTGTCTTGATTACTAAAATCATTTTCAGACACTGAAGGCCTTAGGCAAACGTAATTCCTTGAAAACATGCTATTAATGACTTGAAATAAAACTGAGTAATTATATTTTATTCTCAGCAACAGGGAATACAACAGACAGCCCCCCCTCAACAGACAGTGCAGTATTCACTTCCACAGACAACAACCTCCAGTGAGGCCACTACTGCACAGCCAGTGAGTCAGCCTCAGGCTTCACAGGTCTTGCCTCAAGTATCAGCTGGAAAACAGGTAAATAGTTCCTAAGAGTATGCTAAAGGGAGTTCCATGTAACCTGTTCTTTCATGTAGATAGACTTCTACTTTCTCTAATGGTGAAATATCAAAGTTGTTTGTTTCTTTGCAAAAATGAAGTAAAAAATTGCTCCTTTTGTGCATATGCATTGTCTAATGTAAATGGATACAGACTGAGCAGTGACCATCTAAAAATATTTAACTTTTAGGTTTGACAAGAGTCTAAAATCATTTTGACAAGAATTAGAACTGATGGGTTAATAAATGTTACATTTTCTAGAGTTGTGTCAGCTATCTAATATTCCAGGGAATATGCTGTATTTTCATGTAGATTTATGCATTGTTTTATCCCTCATTGCCTAATGATAGTAAGTCATAAAAACCCCTTTTATGGAATGATTTCTTTTCTAAGACATCCTTCCAATCACTTGAAAAGTGCCCCATAGAAGGAATGCTCTTCTGAATTACCTTTTTCCCAACTTTAACACTGGGGCTTGTTGTGCTTGTATTTTGGCACAATATATTGTTTCTGTCATATTTTATTGCTCTGAGATACTATCAATTTTAAAATGCACCATTCTTTTATGTATCTCTAAGTACTGATACACCATTAATTGTAAGATATATCTCAGTTTCACAAATGTTAAAATGACAGAGTGCTGGAGAGGGATGATTACATCATAGAATCAGTGAACTACGGTAAATATACCTACGTTTATAGGCCTTTGTTACAGGCAATATTGATGAAATATAATTCCACTGGGAATAAAGAAATTCATTTGAATTTCGGTAACTATTGTAATAGCAGTCATAGATTTAGTGACTGCAAACCTGCCAGTGAATTATGGTATGGGAAATATATCTCAATTAATGCTATGAACAAAAAAGCCTTGCCTGTGGAAGGGTCCTCATTTTATTGTTGAAAAATGAAGCATTAGTAAACTTCTCTACAAAGATCTGGAACAGTAGCCAATCATCCTCTTTGTATCCTGCAATCCTTTCCCTATTTTTATGTGGCATATTAACTTACACTAATGTATCCAGGGTTTCTTCTTCTTGTTTTCTTTTTAAATTTTCATTCCTTTGAGCTAATACATAAATCTTGCTTTGGTGGCCTTGCTTTTTTTTTTTTTTTTTAAATCTGTCTGTTTTGTTTTCTTTACCTTCTCAGCTTCCAGTTTCCCAGCCAGTACCAACTATCCAAGGCGAACCTCAGATCTCAGTTGCAACACAACCCTCAGTTGTTCCAGTCCATTCTGGTGCTCATTTCCTCCCTATGGGACAGCCACTCCCTACTTCCTTACTCCCTCAGTACTCTGTCTCTCAAATTCCTGTATCAGCTCCTCATGTGTCTGCGGCTCAGGCAGGTTTCTCAACCCTTCCCATCACAATTGCAGCTGGCATTAATCAGCCTCTGCTCACCTTGGCTTCATCGGCTACAGCATCTGTGATCCCAGGGGGATCAACTCTGGCTTCTAGTCAGCTTCCAACCCTTCTGCAGCCTGTGACTCAGCTGCCAAGTCAGGTTCACCCACAGCTTCTGCAGCCAGCAGTTCAGTCCATGGGACTACCAGCTAACCTTGGACAAGCTGCTGAGGTTCCACTTCCCTCTGGAGATGTTCTGTACCAGGTATTGTGTTACCTAGCAAAAAGGAGGGCACCAGAGGGTTTTGTTCTTATAGTAGACCATCAAGCACTTGAAAATATAGTAGTTGAATATCAGAATAACTAGCAATAACAGTAGTTGCTGATCTTTCCTAGAGAAACGAAAATAGTAAAATTCTGAGAAAGGATAGGGTGATGATGTGTAATGATTCATTTCCATTTTTCTGAAGATACCTCTTGGGAGAAAAATGGTTCATTTAAAACTCAGTGAAAGCTAATTAAATGCTAGATATGGCTACTAAGAGTACATCAGGCTACTTTTGTAATAAGAAGAATAAATAGAGTAGCTAACATGGTATCAATAAAAAGCTTCAGGGTTTGGATTTAGAAGATTAGCAGGTCATGATATGACTGGAATGACTGATACCTTGAAGAGCTTTTTCATTCTTCCACTTAAGATTGACTAGAAAGTAGATATTTTTCTGGACGGTATTAAGTCTATTCCTCCTATTTAAATAATCTCCAGGAGGAAGGGAAAAAAACAACAACAGCAACTTAAAGTACAGTTGTAGAATCCTGTCCCCTAAATTGAAATCAGAAATCTTTAAATTATTAGAAAAAGAGTGGGCTACTATTCTTTGCTATGTGCATTCTTTCTCTCTCTCTTTTCTTTTTTTTTTTTTTTTGGCATGTCTTGCTGTTTTGCTAATTTGATGACCTGACCTGCACTAACTCACCTTCCTCATTTCTATCACAGGGCTTCCCACCTCGATTGCCACTGCAATATCCAGGAGATTCAAATATTGCTCCCTCTTCCAGCGTGGCTTCTGTTTGCATCCCTTCTACAGTCTTATCCCCTCCCATGCCTACAGAAGCATTAGCTACACCAGGTTACTTTCCTACAGTGGTGCAGCCTTATATGGAATCAAATCTTGTAGTTCCTGTGGGCAGTATAGGAGGACAGGTTCAAGTGTCCCAACCAGCAGTGAGTTTAGCACAAGCCCCCACTACATCCTCCCAGCAAGCAGCTCTGGAGGTAAATGGAATTTCTGCATGTTAACATCTAAAACATATATATGTAATGGGATAAAAATTACAGAGCAGAAACAGGTTCCCTGGTTTAGAACTCATTTGGAGACTATTTCAAACTAACTTCTGAATGACTTTTTCTTACAGCAGAATGAAATGCCAATGTGGGGGCCTTGTTGCCACTGGTTGTTCTGTTGGGAAGTGAGTGTGCCTTGGAGAAGATTAACCCTATTAGCACTTCACTTCTCTAGCTAGTACTTTAGCCATTATTCTTCTCCTTTCACAAATTCTTGCCATTGGCAGTCGTAAGAATATCTTATCCTGCTGTGCTCCCAGTAATCATTTTTGCCCTGCTAGGAGAAAGATCTAAATCATCTTTGCACTTTACTCTGCCTGCCCTATTGCACACTTCTGGTAAGATGCTGGCTGCATGGCAAATTATAGTTTCTCACTATCTAGCAGCTATGTTGGCTGGTATCACACCATGCAGTCTATATCAGAGACTAGCTTTAGAAACTTCCTTTGGAATTTTAAGACCACTATCTCTAGATGCTGAATATTGAGAATTACTAGTAAATTTAGTGCTTCTAGGACTTAGGGGAGGGATAAGAAAAATAAAAAGAGTAGCTTTTTGGGAATGGTGAATAGTAAATAAAATGTATTACTGCCAAGATTTGAATTATCCTTTCTATTCACAGAGTACTCAGGGAGTGTCTCAGGTTGCTCCTCCAGAGCCAGTTCCAATAACACAGCCACAACCTACCCAGCCTACCACTTTGGTCTCTTCTATAGACAGGTAAGTAAAATTCTCTGTCCTTGACTGGTAGTAAGATGATATGAAACTTAAAAATATCAAAACTTTAAGTCTCATATTGTAAACTGAACTCTTTTTTTGAAGTGCACATTCAGATGTTGCTTCAGGTATGAGTGATGGCAATGAGAATGTCCCATCATCCAGTGGAAGGCATGAAGGGAGAACTGCAAAACGGCATTATCGAAAATCTGTAAGAAGTCGATCTCGTCATGAAAAGACTTCTCGCCCAAAATTGAGAATTTTGAATGTAAGTATTGCTGATATGTGGGTTTCATATAGTTTATATTATGTGGTTATTTCTAAGTCTCAGGTGTACTGATGAAATTTTAGGACTTTCTAATCACTCAAATGATAGTTAAATTCCATATTTCTATGATAAGACTCTATTTACCTTTTAGAAAAAGAACAGTTTTAGTTTACATTTCTTTCAAACTCTTCAGTGGAAGATGAGTATGTGTCTCAAAGGCTAATATTTTCTTTCTACCAGTTTAAGAGGCAGAGTACCAGTGCCAGGAATACCAGTGGTAACATCAGGCTTAAGTTCAAGTGATAATCTGCATTACTTTCTCAAATTCAGTAACAAAGGTGAATGTGGTTTTCCAAGATACGAAGTACCTTTTCTTTTTCTTTTTAGGTTTCAAATAAAGGAGACCGGGTAGTAGAATGTCAGTTAGAGACTCACAATCGGAAAATGGTTACATTCAAATTTGATTTAGATGGTGACAATCCCGAGGAGATAGCAACAATTATGGTATGTCTCCATTTGGAATTCCAGTTTTGCCTTAGTACTTGATCTAAGTAGCCACTGCCCTAGCCAAATATACAGTATTTTGTAATATATTTTTACATTTATTTCTATGTGAATATAACTAGTACACCAAACCTGTGATTTAGGGTGTTTTTGTATAGGACATACCTAACTAGTATTGAAGAACTTTCATATCAAGTAAATAATAATATAGGTGGTATGCAGATAGGGCAGAAGTCATGAAGTTGGTAATTGGATGACTTAAAGCTTGAGAAACATTGTACTAATCAGACTGACATCACATTTCTTTTACAGGTGAACAATGACTTCATTCTAGCAACAGAGAGAGAGTCCTTTGTGGATCAAGTGCGGGAAATTATTGAAAAAGCTGATGAAATGCTCAGTGAGGATGTCAGTGTGGAACCAGAGGGTGACCAGGGATTGGAGAGTCTACAGGGAAAGGATGACTATGGCTTTTCAGATTCTCAAGTAGGTTCAACATTCCCATAGTGAAGGTTTGTTTGTTTAACATATTACTGTAGTGCCAAGCAAAATATCCAGTGATCATATGTCTGAGATGATCAAACACTTGTGTTCTCTTTGCATGTGGCAATTTGCCTAATTCAGATTGCATTGAGAATGAATTGAACTACTTTTGTTTGTTGTAGAAATTGGAAGGAGAGTTCAAACAACCACTTCCTGCATCTTCCATGACACAACAAATAGGTGAATGAATCTCTTTTCTTTCTGTGTTTGCTCTTACCTTTGACCGAAGTGTGCTAATAATGAAATCTTAAAGCTTCATGTCAGTGACAGTATATACAGTATAATAATAATGCAATAAAGTGGTCTGTTTCTTTTAAACTAGGCATTCCTACCAGTTCTTTAACTCAAGTTGTTCATTCTGCTGGAAGACGGTTTATAGTGAGTCCTGTGCCAGAAAGTCGATTACGAGAATCAAAGGTTTTCACTGGTGAAATATCAGATACGGGTAAGGAATTGCTTCTACCACATACTTCTATAAATTTTGTGGCATCTCTGCTATATTGGAAGCTAGGTCATCTAGCAGTAGTTCAAATAATGACACAGACAATAAAAGAGATTAGAAAATTGGGATTATAACACAGATAAACATATGAAGAAAGGAAATAAGTGATGAATAGAGAAGATTAAAGAAAAAGAGCCAAAGGGACAGCCATAACTAGATACGGTCCACGTAATAGATACTGTATAGATACAGTAATATGTATTTGCTTTTCCATTTAGTACTATTGCATATGCTTTGAGGTTACTTCATGGTTTTGTGTTTGTTTTCAGAAACAGATAATCATATACCCTAACTTACTTTGATCTAACTACTTTGCTGTTTTAGAGCCTATCATTTCCTTGGGAGAGTTACTGTTTTTTAATATATTTTTATTGTTTTAAAAGAGGAAAGGAGAGGGAGAGATAGATACATCAATGATGAGAGAGAATCATTGATCGGCTGCCTCTTCATGCCCCACACTGGGGATCAAGCCCGCAACCTGGGCATGTGCCTTGACTTGGAATTGAACTGTGACCTAGTGGTTCATAGATCAATTGAGCCATGCCAGCAGGGCCCTTGGAAGAGTTTTTAAACCTTGTTGGTATGTGGCCTAGTTGGTAATCCAAAAATAGATTGCTAGGACATTCTTTTGAATCCACCCTTTAAAAATGGACTGATTCTGAATTTTTTCTTTTCCTTTGCAGTTGCTGCCTCTACGTCTCATGGTGCTGGAATGAATTTGTCTCACTCTGCTTCATCCCTTAGTCTACAGCAGGCCTTTTCTGAACTTAAAAATGTCCAGATGACAGAAGGACCCAATACAGCACCTCCCAACTTTAGTCAGACAGGACCGACATTTCCAGTAGTACCTCCTTCCATGGGTAGCATTGCTGGAGTCCCCACCACAGCAGCAACCACACTTTCAGTATCAGTCCCTGTAACTAGCTGCCCTCTTAATGACATTTCCACATCAGTCATTCAGTCTGAGATTACAGTGCCCACTGAAAAAGGGATTACCACCTGCACAAGTGTAACTTCAAGTGAACTCTGTATACCACCTGTGTCTGAAGAATCACCAGTGCTTTCCAGCATGGTTTCAGGCATCACTATACCTACAGTTGTCTCAACATCAGCAACATCCCAGTCGGTTCTGGCTCCCACATCTGGGAGTGTTGTTTCTAGTATAGGTACTTTACCCTCTAGACCGGTTTCAACAACTTCAGCCTCTGCAGTGAGCAGTGCTGCTGCTCCAGGGGCTAATCCTCCACCTGCATTATCTCAGCCATCAGCAGGCAGTACTACTACAGGGGCAGCCACATTAACCTCAGTTTCTAACACCACTCCGTTCCCAAGCATAGCTTCACAGCCATCTCTTCAGCTTAGCAGCAGCACCTCTGCTCCTACACTAGCTGAGACAGTAGTGGTTAGTGCACACTCACTTGATAAAATATCTCATAGCAGTACAGCTGGATTGGCTTTGTCCCACTCTGCACCCTCCTCCTCCTCTTCCCCTGGAGCAGCAGTATCTAGTTCGATTTCTCAACCTGGTGGGGTGCATCCTTTGGTCATTCCCTCAGTTATAGCTTCTACTCCTGTCCTTGCCCAAGCAGCAGGACCTACTTCTACACCTTTATTACCCCAAATACCTACTATCCCACCTTTGGCACAGCCTGTTGCTAGTGTGCCTGCTGTACAGCAGACACTAATTCATAGTCAGCCTCAACCAGCTTTGCTTCCCAACCAGCCTCATACACACTGTCCTGAAATAGATGCTGATACACAGCCCAAAGCTCCTGGAATTGATGACATAAAGACTCTAGAGGAAAAGCTGCGATCTCTCTTTAGTGAACACAGCTCATCTGGAACTCAACATGCCTCTGTCTCATTGGAGACGTCACTAGTAGTAGAAACCAATGCCACACCAGGTATCCCAACGACTGCTGTTGCACCCAGCAAACTCATGACTTCAACTACAAGTACTTGCTTACCACCAACCAGTTTGCCACTAGGAACAACTGGTTTGCCTGTTATACCAGTGGTAACACCTGGGCAAGTTTCTACTTCAGTCAGCTATGTTTCAGCCCCAGTCAGCACTACACCAGGAGTGAAACCTGGAACTGCTCCGTCAAAGCTACCTTTAACTAAGGCTCCAGTAAGATTCTTGTTTTGAAATAATTAAATTAATATAACCACTCTTTTTCCTTCTAATATATGCATTTTTCTACTCAGCCTTGCAAATTACAAATGAAGTTATAAAAATGTCTGCCTAATAATAGGCACTTGGTATTTATTAAATAAATAGATTGAAGGTGATAGGGTATATGTACATTGAACATGAGAGATTTTTCCTTTTGAAATATGGCAGGATTTGGGGGTTATCTATACTGCACGATTTTCTAAGAATTATAATAATCAGGTAAAATTACAGGCATTTCTTCCTAATTGGTACAAATTGAAAGACTCTATCCCAAAAGACAGTTAAATGCTTCTACTGGCAATTATACATAGTAACAGAAGTTCATAATCTTTGTTTCAATGAGAATGAAGCAAATTATCTGCTTTGCTTAGATTCCACAGATGTATAATATGGGGTCAATAAAAAATTGGAAATGAATAATGTGATACAAAGGAGGAGAAAAGAATCTAATCTTAAGAATAAAATAACTAGAAGGTGTTTTCTAATTCTGCTATGGTGGGTTTCCTCTCATTCTGCCATCTTCAATCTCTCTGATCTTTTCCAAGTAATAAGGCTGTACTTTTTCTACTGTATTGTATGCATTGCCATTGATAGGAAATGCTTTTAACAGTAGTTAATATAGAGGTTTTACTCAGACAGAAAACAAATTGCTTGATAGTATTGGATTTCTGATGCCTTTTGTTATCAGGCCTGACCCTTGGTTACTTCTGAATTGTTTTTGTTTTCTCAGAAAAGTCTTGTTTTTGGAAAAGCCTGATTATACTGTACCACGGCAGTGGTTCAAAAATATCTGGACTGTGCCTCTCATGTCCACACAACCTTTGTTCCCTCTATTTTCCCTAGAGAATAACTTCTTATTAAATTTTACTATTCATTTTATTGGTATGTCACAGTAATCCCTATAATAGTATCATGGTTACAATGTCCTTTATTTAAGAGTATAACCCAGGTGACAAGCATGCGTTAACTAGATACATGTTATTCTTATGCTTCTGCAATTTGAATTAGTTGATTTGTTCTCCAGTCTTTACATTTCAGTGTCTCATGGATTTGAATTTCCCTTCATTGTCTGTAGGTTGTGTCAGTGGGTTCTGAACTTCTAGCTGGTATTCCATCCAGTGAGCAGCTGCCACCTTTTCCAGGACCTTCACAAACTCAGGTGCCCCAAGACTTGGCATATTTCTTAATGTGCCCCTATTTTCTTTCACAAAGGGTATTTAAATTCTCCATTGTGGGATCATGGCTTCTGGCTTCTATTTGGTTTTGACTTAGTAACAGCTTTCTTTTAAAATAGTGTAGCTAATGACCCAAGCCCTATTTAAAGTAAGAAGCTTCATAGTTCTTTTATTTGTAATGTTGCTTCAAGTCATCCAGAAAACATTTAATATTAATATTTTTTCATATTTTACGAAGGAAGAAAATAGCAAAATTGATATTTTGCCAAACAAGTAAAATTCCTTCTCTCATTCGTAGAATAGTGAAATTGCGTCTTAGGTATGAGATAATTTGCTCTAGATTTCATGGAAGTAAAAAATTACATGTATATAGAATTAACTTTGAAAGTTCCTTAGGAAAGGGTACCATACTAATAATTGATAATACCCTTTTTCTATGAGTTTAGTGCAACCATTTTTTTTCTTGAATTTGACATTTCTTTTAATGAACATTGAATTAAGTAATTGGCTATATATAGATGGTTATAGGGTGATATTTCATGAAAAAGATATATCTTTAAGTAGAAAAATCACTCAGCTCAGGTGAAATGAGATTCCTCATAGAGGAATTAAGACCAGTGATGTGAATGTGAGATTCCTATCTCACACTCAGTTCTACCCACTGGGTAGAATGGTGGTCAGAATTGCTTACAGTATTTAAATTCTTTCCTTTTCCACCCTACTCTACCACCCCACACATTTAGTTGAATTCCCATAGGAAGTACTCGTTATGCATCCATTATAACCATGAAAAAACTTCTGTGTGGGTCAAGCCTAGTAAACATTGAAACTAAATTAGGAATTTATTTTAGAACTGTAAAAGAAAAACATAGTAAATTGCTAATTTGAAAAGCCTGAATTTGTCTTTACTTCTTTAATCCCAGATATACAGTAGCACATAATTTAATGAACTTACCATAATAAAGTTTTAACTCCAACAGAGAAACCACTTCATCAGCCACTAGGTTTTGAAAAAAATTGCATTGTGGAAGTCTGTAAATTGGGAGTTTCAAACCTATTTTCTCATTAGAAGCATGTATTTATAATTCTAAGAGAGCTGTAAGTGTGAGGAGAAACAGCAATAAGACATGTGGAGGGGTAAGTAGATAGACACTACATATAGACAGGGAATAGCATAAGTAAAAGCTATAGAAGAATAGGTTGCTGGAAGCCAAGATAGATGGATGTTAAGAGACTGTGGCAAGAGTAAAGTTTATGGCCTTGAGATGGATGGTAGTAAGACCTGGTTAATAGGATGGGATACTCAGACCTCCAGTTCCTCCTTTCTGTCATTTATAGGGCAGGTATAAGAGTATAGATTATTAAGGATTTACAAAAAGAATAATATTACTTGATAGTGCCATCTTTTATTTGTAAGGCCAAGGTCTCAGAAAGATGTACCAAACTGAAAAAGAAAATAGGGAACATGTGATAACTCTTAATCTACCAATAGACCTTGATACATTTTTCAGAATATATTTTAAGGAGAGGACAAATAGACAACTTTTTTATCACTTTCAGTAACATTAAACATAAAAGGTAAGAAAGAAAACTTAGAAACTGTAAAAACAAATGTAACATTTTTTCTAAGAAACTGTAAAAACATAAATGCAACAGTTTCTCTAAAGTTTGAGGTTGACATAACATTTTGAGAGACTGGTAAATCATTCAAGCAGTACTAGTATATCTAAGTTGAACTTGATATATTGAGTTTCATATTCCGTGAATAGACACACATTATGTCATGTCAATCTAAAGCATAAAACAGTATGTCCTATATAAATGGTCTGTACATAGGGATTCTGAATATGCCAAAGACCTATATTTATTGTGGTTGTTTTCATTCAATCCCAGCAACCTCTGGAAGATCTTGATGCTCAGTTGAGAAGAGCACTTAGTCCAGAGACTATTGCAGTAACATCTGCAGTTGGTGTAAGTTTTGAAAATCTTGATAAAATCTTCCCGTAACCCTATGTATTATGTTCTTAGAACATAAACTGTAAATTTGACTATTGATACCTTTAACACCTATTTTGTCTTTGTTTGTTCAAGCCAGCAGAAATGAAACCGGTTAATGAAAAATTAACACTGACCCAGTAGTGTAACTGGAAAAGATTTTATTTGAAAAATACTTTTCTTTTTCTCTGGTTAGAATGATACCAAAGGTTTTGTATTTATGATTCAGAGGAGGTTATACTCTAATCCTTTCAGGCATGTGACATAATAGTGTTCTGATTAAAACTAGTTTTCTATGAATATTCAAGTTATACTCAAGTATACCATAGGAAAAATTAAGAAAGCCATGTAGAAGCGTTAAGACTCAATTTCTTCATTAAAATATGTCTTTCTTTACATTAGACCTATTTTTAGGCTGTTAAAAAAATATTCCCTCAGACATAAGTTGTTTCTTCACATATGCTCTTTATAAGAGGAAAAGCAGCAGGCCAAATTTTAAGACTGACCAAAGCTAAAGATTTTTGTGGTATTTGTATCTGTGTTTTGCAGCCTGGGTCCATGGTGCCTCCAACAGCAGTTACAGAAGCAGGAGCTCAGCCTCAGAAGGATGGTGAGAAGCATCCTTCCTCTTATATTACCACTTTCAAACCCCCCTATAAATGATTACTATTTCAAAGACATATTCTTTTTTTTTTTAGATAGTTTCTTAGCATAAAACCCTTTGTTATTAGTTAGGCCTAGGTTCTTGCTAAGAGATGAAAAAATTCAAGCACATATAAAAGTTAATTTACTGATAAATTTCTTGGCTTTTGTGACACTAAATATATAGAGATAAACTTGAGTAGCAAAGATTGTAGAAATACAAATTTAAGATTTCAATTAATCAGTTTAAACATTTTTATCTCTTTTTGGAGTCATTAAAATTGGCATGTTCATAAAATATAATCTCTTTAGAAAGGCATACTTTTAACTTAATTTTGCAAAAATTACCTATATCATCAATTTAAATATTTTATTAGGACTTTTATCACCCTGTGCTTAGTCATAAGTCGGTATCAATTACTGCTATTCTAAAGTTTTGTAGTGAATCTCTTTTCATTTAAAATCATCAGTCCCACAGAATCTAGGAAATTTAAAGGTTCTATTTTTTTGTTGCCTTTTCCTTCAGAATCAAGTTTAAAAGTGAAAATACTTAAATGTGAGCTATACTTATGCAATGTAATTTTTGTATACCACATGCTTAATATTAATTCCCTTTTTATAAAAATCTATTCTCAGTACCACCTGACATGAATGTACTTCCCTATATAAATATTTTTAAAATATATATTACATATATATAAATTTCAGAGAGAAGGGAGAGAGAGATAGAAACATTAATGATGAGAGAGAATCATTGATGGTTGTCTCCTGCATGACCCCTACTGGGGATCAAGCCCGCAACCTGGGCATGTGCCTTGACTGGGAATCGAACTATGACCTCCTGGTTCATAGGTCAATGCTCAACCACTGAGCCACACTGACTGGGCCCCCACATAACTATTAATAAGATTACCTAAGTGCTCTTACTTCTTACCTTTCCTTATCTTTCCTAAATGCTAAATTTTGCTTAAAACCTCTCAAAATATTTTCAAGGGAATTGATTCTCTTGTTTTAAAATGAATGACTCAAAAAATCACTGGAACAAATGATAAATTCTAGAAATGGACAAACTACAAGGGAAAGTAGAATATTAAAAAGGTGACCTTTCAAATCATAATGTGATGGGATATTTCAGTAAATGGTTTGGGACAATTGGACAGCCATCTGGAAAAAAAGCAAAGACCACTAGCCTTCCCGTGGTCCGCAAACTGTGGCTCGCGAGCCACATGCAGCTCTTTGGCCCCTTGAGTGTGGCTCATCCACAAAATGCCACGTGCGGGCGCGCGTACAGTGCAATTGAAACTTCGTGGCCCATACGTAGAAGTCGGTTTTCAGCCTGGACGAGTCTATTTTGAAGAAGTACTGTTGATATTTGGCTCTGTTGACTAATGAGTTTGCCGACCACTGCTTAGACCAAAATAAATTCCAAATGGATCAAAGATAAAAAATGATACTAGCCCTAACCGGTTTGGCTCAGTGGATAGAGCGTCAGTCTGTCGACTGGAGGGTCCCGGGTTCGATTCCAGTCAAGGGCATGTACCTTGGTTGCGGGCACATCCCTGGTCGGGGGTGTGCAAGAGGCAGCTGATCGATGTTTCTCTCTCATCGATGTTTCTGGCTCCCTGTCCCTCTCCCTTTCACCCTGTAAAAAAATCAATAAAATATATATATTTTTTAATAAATGATACTATACAAATGGTGCTGTAGGAAGACAAAGGAAAATTTTTCTTTTTTCTTAAATTTTAACTGTCTAGATCAGAGTCAGCAAACTTCTTCTGCAAAAAGGCTAGAAAGTAAATATATTAGTCTTTGCTAGCCATACAGTCTCTGTCACAACTACTCAAATCTATTGTAGCTCCTGAGCAGCAGTAGACAATACATAAATGAATGAGTTTCACTGTGTTCCAATAAAATTTATTTACAAAAGCAAGCAGTGGGCTGAATTTGGTCCATGCATTGTAGCTTGCTGATTCCTCATACAGAGAAAGGTGTTGTGTTTAATACCCAGCCCAGAAGTGGTAATAGATTTTAGTTTTTCTGCTTGGAAAAAATCATGCCATTTAGTCCAAAGATAAATGAAAAACTAGGAAATGTATGCATGTGCATGTATTTATATCACAAAAAGGGCTACTTTGCTAATATTAAGAGTTCTATAAATTGAGCATAGACAAGGAATAAAAGATTAAGAAAAAAGAAACATAGGCATGAAAATACTTTATGATAACAGAAATGCAAAATAAAACCACAAGTGGTAGCACTTCTCATTTCTCATTGGTAAATTCAGAAATTTAATAGCCACCATTGACTTGGTACAGTCTCTTTGGAGATAAATTTAGTTACGTCTATCGAAGTTTTAAATGGAAATGATTCAGCATTTTCATACCTAGATATTTATTCCACAGATCTATAAGAAAATATTTATTAGAGCATTTTTATAATAGCAAGAAATTTGAATAACTTAAATTTTCAGTAGAAGCTTGGTTAAAATGTATACATTTTTTTAAAAATTATATCTACTTTTTGCATACATTCAGTACAACACTATGCAGCCATTAAAAATGAAACATCGATACAGAATGTTCTCTAAGTTATAACATTATATAAATTTGTGCACGAGTAAGGTCCCTAGGCCTGGCTGGCGATCCAATCAGGGCCTTCCTTCCAGCTGCCAGCCAGGGCCTCCCTTCCCCGGCTGCCAGCCAGGGCCTTCCTTTGTTCCATGCCACCCCCTGGTGGTCAGCACACGTCATAGTGAGTGATCGAACTCCCGGTCTCCCTGTCGAACTCCCAAGGGGACACTTTGCATATTAGCCTTTTATATATATACTAGAGGCCCGGTGCACAAAAATTTGTGCACTCAGAGGCGGGGGGAGGGGTGTCCCCCAGCCCGGCCTGTGCCCTCTCGCAGTCTGGGACCCCTCGGGAGATAACGACCTGCTGGCTTAGGCCTGCTCCCGGGTGGCAGAGGGCAGGCCCAATCCCTAAGTGCAGCCCCTGGTCAGGCTCAGACCAGGGCCGATTGGGGAGTTGGGGTGCCGCCCCCTGTCATGCACAGAACAG